GGCTTGCATTCTAGGCTAAGTTCTCCTGAATTGTGATGAAGTATTTCCATTTTTCATCCCCTGCCTGAGTCCTTTTTCTGTGGAAATCAAACAAAAAAGGATCCAATCAAAAGAACAAAAGGTGATCAGAGTGGGCAAATACAAGTGGCCAAGAAGAGTCACAGTATATGTAATGAATTCTTAGAACAAAGTTTGAGTCCAGTGGCACCTCTAAGACCAACAAATTTTAATTCTGGGAATAAGCTTTCGTGTGCATGCATAGCTACCCAACTTTTATCCTGTTGTACCTCCTTTTCCTTCTAATATTGTGCAACTGTCTACAATTGAACAATTAAAAATGAATTTGATGTCTCATTTTCCCAAATACCTTGTAGTCCCTCTGGCATCTTAATGCCTGTTATTGCTGTGTTTTCCCTAAATTCACTTTCCTAACGCCAGCAGTGGGATGAAGCAATTCTGCACTGTCAGGAACCATGCTGAGAAGATTTTAAGTAGTTATTCAATAAGTCCAGTTTCAGAGGGCAGCCGTGTGCTGGTCTGCAGGAGAATAGCTAGATTGGTTTTTGGGATATAAGCTTTCAAGCGTCAAAGCTTTTATTTGATGAAGGGAGCTTTGATTCTCAAAACTTTACACCCCAAAAATCTTGTTGGTCTCTAAGGTGCCACTGGACACGATTCTTAGCTCTTCAGTAAGTCAACACTCAAGATCTGATATTATTTTGATGGTGCTCCAAGTGCAAACGATGCACAGATTAATGCCAGTACATTAAAAGAGTCATGCAGGGTGTGCCTGTATATATTTATTACTCATCCTGAGACCTGATGGGTGCCACTTCCTCATAAAAGTCTCTCAACAACTAGTCTTTGGGCTGCCTAAACTTTACATACCAACATGTCAGTTATGTGTCATGTTAAGCTGTATATTTTCAGTTATGGGCTTCTTACACTGGCTCTTGGTTAATCATTTGCTCTGACATTTGACGTAGTTTGACTTTTCAATTATAAAGGGTTGCTGATGACCCCTATAGCATGTCCCTACCCTCTGAAGGCTGAGTAACAGACAGGGACCACTGCCCAAATTTCTAAACAAAATGTATGGTGCTTTAACTCAAGTGCACTGGGGAGTACTCTAGGTAAGAGGTTTTCCCACCAGTCCATTTTTCAGGTTACCAAGCTTTATTCTGGCAGGGCTTCTCTGCCCTAAAACAGTTCTGTGACACTGCTTTTTTCCTGGCTACTAGGAAAAGCTTAGCCTGTTGAATATGTGCAACTCATGAAGCCAGAGATGGACCCCATGATTTCGTCTGGAGGAGGGGTGTCATGATCTGGGCTGTACAACTAGAGGCCCAAGGTGAGAAGGTAGGGTGAGCAGACTGAGGCCCACGTGAGACAGTGCGCTAGGGACAGTAAATTTAGACATGTTAGGCCATTTGGTTTCTTTTCTTTTCACCTCCTTACTAATATTGTTCTTGCACCTTGTTTGTTTCCCATATTGGGCTGACCTCCTTTAAAAATAAACCTTTTCCTTGTTGTTTACTCTGCCTAGTCCTCATGCTATTTTGGCCAAACAAGGGAGGTCCGAAGGTCTTGGGAGTGTGGTCTGGGCCTTCTCAATGGATCCTAAAACCAGAGTGGTGGCAGTGTCAGGTGACACCCCACCTGAGCCATGACAGAGGCAATTATAGGAGTGTGTTTATTTCCAGCGCCTTTCTCTACATATCTATGTGTATGGTAGGGTTGCTAGCTCTGGGGCTTTGGTCCTGAGAATCAGGTTTTGGGGGCTTGTTCTCAGGGTCTCAGGTTGAAAACCTCATGGCTATCTGCTATCCCATGCCCCCATAGGCCGACACCCCCAGTAGTCTCTTTAGTTTTGTGTGTGTTCATGTTTGTGGCAATTACTGCATGTGTAGACTAAAGGCAACAATATGGAGGTAGCTACATTTTTCATTTAGCACATAGTTAATCTCTATGTCTAGTTATCTGTATGTGTGATACATAGGCTAAGATTCTGAATTACACACATTGACAAATACCACAGGGTGTGTGAAATTACTGCCATTATCCCTGTTGTTCCAGTGTGATGTTACCAGGGCCCCTGCCGCCTGAGTTTTAGAGTATGAGATACTAGCAGTCCTAAAATACTGTGAAACCCACATCAAAACTCACAATCAGGCACGTGACTTGGAGAAACAGTGTAGACTTGCAGAAGTAAGTTCTCCTTATTCGTATGGAAATACTGGAGTCTCTGTAATTGTAAAGAAAAATGGTTCCTTGCTCTGTTCTGTAAAATAAAATCTTTGGTTCAGGCGGTGAAAAGGCCTACAAGAATCTTCCCAGAGACAGTTAGCCAGAGCTAAATTGTTTTCAGCTGAGGGTAGTATCAACCGCCCTTGAAGCTTCCAATTAGCACATTCCAAGCAACTGAGCTATAGACACCTGTGTGGGGGCAGGGACAGGCCTAAGTGCAGTATGGTTATGTTTCTCGCCCTCTCTCTCTTGTCCATCCTCGAATGCCACATGCCTAGCAACTCAGATAATTACATCACCTTTCGGGTATCTCATTGGTCTAAAGGCCTAAGACCAGTTAGAGACCCTTTTCTTATAAATCTAGTTAGCCCTTACACTATGGCATGGAGCTTGTGACTACTTGACATGACATTATGTCAGTGGTTCAAGAGCTCCCAGAATGGCATCCCACTTGATTCCTGCCTGGACTGGCTAAAGTTGACTGCCTCTGCTGATCCTGGACTGGTAACTGGAACCTTGTTTCTGTATGTTTAGCTATGCTAGAAAAGCTTAGGTTTATTTGTTTTATTCCTTCACTGTCTAGTCTTGTTTTAAATATTTTTTGCACCTTAAATAAATATATTTTTACTCTGTCGTGGTTTTTGCCTTCAATAACCTCAGAGCCTTGGCTCTTGACTGCCTACCAGTTAACTGTTTTGTCTTGGAAACTCAGACTGCAGTCCCACTCTGCAGGGCTGACTTTTCTTGTTAAGTTCCCTGAGAAGCCAGGAGGCTTGGTCTTTCCCTCCTAGGCTGTTGGGCTAGATTGAAAGACCTGGTGGCAACCTACCAAGACTAGGGTGAGTTTTAGACTCTCTCTGGTGCTTTGTAACTTTGTTTTGTAACGCACTCCCCTTGCACCAAAAGTCTTTACCCAGGCAATACAGTAATACAATCCGGGTAATACAATAATACGCACTCCCCTTGAACCAAAAGTCCTTACCCGGGTAATGCAGTAATACAACAGAATAGGTTCATAGAAAGGTCTGTTTTCATTGTGTTGTAGTAGTGGAATGGGCCTGCTCTGGCCTGCAGGCCATGTTCCACCCTGCTCTCCAAGGTTTTTCCAACACCTGCAGAAGCTTTTCTTTATCTCTCAGGTAACCTGCCGCCACCACCTGACCTTTGTAAGGAATTGCCACTGGGAGGGTCAGGACTCCCAGCTTCCAAGTTCTGAGGCTTTCTGTGTTTCCCTCAGCCCAGTTACAGATCTCTACAGAGTTGTCATTACCTTGAAGCTTCCTTCAGCTGTCCAGGCCAACAACATGATTAATGGCTGCCTTCTCCAGACCTCAGTTAAGAGTTCTACTTGCTCTGATGGACTCTGCACCAAAGAGACCTTCCTCCTTGCTCCCCCAAATTTTATCGCTTCTCTTTTCCACACCCACTGACCAGGTCGGCCAGGTCAAAGCTTTTCCTGGAGATCTCCAGTTTCTTCCTTCCTGAAGTCTCTCTAGTATTTTATTCCTCTAAATCTCTGTTCCCTGTTTGAAGGGGATGGGGGGGAGCTTAACCATCCCACTATCTAGACCAGGGGTGTCAAACATGTGGCCTAGGGCTAGATCATGCCCCTGGAGGGCTTCTATCAGGCCCACAGTGGAACTGGCTGTCTTCTGCTTCTTCCAGTTCTGCTGCGTCATCATTATAGGTTTAGCAGCTTACAGATACACACCTGAACAGAATACTCAGAACTGAAACAGCGCAGCCGTTTTGATGCAATAATTCAGAGCAAGAGGTGTCAGTTATCAGACACTGTTAAATAAGCATGTTTTTATTTTAAGTTTAAAAAACCCTTTGTGTTTGTGTCCTTTATAAAGTTTATATCTCCGCTACCTGGCATTACATTTTATGACACACATGGCCTGGCCCAGCAAGGTCTCATTTATGTCAGATCCGGCCCTCATAACAAATGAGTTCGACACCCCTGGTCTAGACCTATTAGCATTTCTATGAAGGTGGGCTGAGGTAAGCCTGGAAAGCAGTTGAACTGACTTCCTGCCTGCCTGTTTTCTGTCCAGAGAGAGAGAGAGAGAGAGAGCTGGAATAACATCAAACATCCCTGCTGAGATTCCTTCCTTGCCCCATCTTTGTCCTCCCTAAGCACGTTTCATGGTCCTTTGTCAGTTTGTCAGCGTGCATAGGACTGTGGCTCTGAAGTGACAAAGCAGCTGGGTAAAAAGAAATGCAGGTTAACTGCTGGCACTCGAAGCCGCCTAACTCCCCCCGCCTCCCCCAGCCCTCTGCTGCCTACGATTCCCATGCTGCACCGTGTTCCGAATCGCTGTGGCCCGCTTAACCCTTTCGCCGCCCTGGCCTCCTTCGCTGCAGCCCTCTGGAGCCTGCTCTCAACAGCGGCTGGCCCTTCGCCTCTGCAGCCCCTGGGCTGCGTTATCCCGGATTCAGGGGCGCCGTCAGAATGCGGCCAGGCAAGGAGTTCTTAAGTTCTAGCTAGCTTTTGAAAACAGAAAAGACAACGGTCTGGAAGAATTGGCTGGGAGGGAGGGCGCAGCCGGCGCTCAGATGTGGCTTTAGGAAGGGGAGGCTGCCCCAAAAAACACCTCCCTTCCCCGTCATTCCGAAGCTTCCCTCGCGCCTCTCCCTTTTGGCGTTCTGGAGGCGCGGGTGCGCTGGCTTCCGAGCCGGTCCAGCAAGGGGAGGCGGCGGCGGCTGATATGCCTGCGCTGCCCGAGGAGGAGCCCACGCCCTCTTTCGCCGCGCTCCTGCCGACCTGCCCGTGCCTAGAGCTCCTTCGCCCCTGGCTCAGGGAGCGCGCTGGGAGTCTGCCGCTCTCGCTCGCCGCCCGGGCGCCGGGGAGGAATGTCCTGAAGAGCGGCTGGGTCCCGTGCCGGCGGCGGAGGGCTTCTCCGGGCAGGCACGCAGGTAACGGTCCCGATCCCCGCCCGTCCTGCCGCCTCCCTACCTGGCCCACGAGCGCGCGCGCTCTCCCTCTCGGCCTCCGCGTGCCAATGTCAGAGCTCTGCGGGCGACCCACGCGTCGTGCTGCGTGCTCCGCGATAGCGGCGGCGGCGGCCTGCTGTGGTCTGGCTCTGAATGGCTGGAGCGGGTCCCTCTGTCAAACCGCCGCTGTCCTGCTCTGGCCCCGCTGCCTGAGCTGCGTAAGGGAACAGGGCACTGCTGGGGAAACCTTTGCTAAGATCCGCGCAACCCCTTAGGGGTAGGGCACAGAAGGGGGAAAGAGGAGCCCCTGCCCCGAGGCGCTTACAGTTAGACCTTGTGGTAAAGGCTTGGGGGAGTAGGAACCCAGACAGCTGCAAGGTTTTTGTAGTGCAGGTCCTATGCAGAGTTACCCAAGATTCAGCCCATGGCCTTAGTCTGGAGGAACTCTGCATAGGCTTGCATTGTGCAGCCGGTCAGGCATCTTCAGAATCATGTATTGCCTGTGACGTTCGTGGGTGGGGGTGCCTTGATTTGCTTCCTGAGGACTGATTGCCGTCTGTTTTGCCTGTTTCAGCTTCGGTTGGTTGCCAAATTTGGCTTTGGCACACGTCTTGTCCCTCCCAGATGAGGAAGGACCTGAAGGGCTAGGGCCATGAAGTACCTCCGCCTGTGAGGGGACGTGGCTTGAGAAGAAATACCTGCCACTCAGCACCGCTGGCGCCCAGCTGTGTTCTTGGCTGGCCACCTGCTATGGCCCGCTCTGGCCTCTGGAGCAGCCTCAAGTCCGTGCTGAGGAAGAACGAGGACCCCTTGTTCTTGAACGACTCCAGTGCCTTTGATTTCTCGGATGAGGCCGGAGATGAGGACTACCCCAGGTTCAACAAACTGCGAGTCGTGGTTTCTGACGATGCGGCTGATGGTGCAGTGGACGCTTCGGCCAATGGCACCCACTTGGGGCCCCATTCCGACGACTCCTTGCTGGACAGGGACGCTGCTCCTCAGAGGGCCCACCCTGCTACGGGCGCAGACCCTTGTAACAATTGCAACAAACAGAGGGAACTGTTGAAGCAAAGGACTGTGAAGAGGCGCCTGATCCTAGCCGCAGTCCTCTATCTCCTCTTTATGACGGGGGAGCTGGTCGGTAAGCAGGCCTTGTCCTCTTACTAAAGGCGGGTGGCAGTTGCTTTTTGAAAGATCACTGTGCCTTGGGAGAGACTTTTAATTATTCACTTGGGGAAGACAGCATGCTAGGTACTCGGCCGGTGATATCGCCTCTTCGCGGAAGAGGCAGTGAGTTCAGAGAGCATCTTGAGTAAGCAGAATCAGCACACAAAGGGGATTATCAGCATGGGGCACTGCCAGTTTAAACAGCTGCTATTATACACTGAGTAATTTTGCGCAACAGTAAGGCCTCCACTGACAAATAGATAAATATCCTGGAGGTTATTTTATTTTTCTTCCTTTTGCTGATGTGTTCTTAGATCCTTTTTTATATAAAGGAAGTGAAGCAGCCTAGGGTTAGGGTGGTGTTTTTTTTTTTTAATTACCTCAAGAAAATTTATCCGTAATTTTCCATGTGTGCTTGTACCAGTCACGTGGAGGCTTGAACTATGGATGTGGGCAGAACATTGCGTTAAGAACTACCAGATTAGTCAAGTGGTTGTATCTTGACTTGTACAGAATTAAACACTGAAACTCTTGCCCCCAAAAGGTCAATATAGCAAAAACTGGTTTCTATTGAATACTGTTCCGTTGCTCTAGTTGGGACTTGGTCATAACTAGGGCTGAATTGCGCTCCCTGCATGGGCGCATGTGTAGGAGGCAGGCAGTTCAGACTTTTTAAAAATTGAGAACCACCTCAGGGAAATTTACGGGAGTACTTTGGGAGTGAGTAAAATAGTAATAAAAACCCTACAAAATTTATCTTGAAAGGGCAGTTATCGTTATTAAAGATTTACATGGCACTTGGAGCATTCACTTTGCAGACATCACAGTGTTTGTTACAACAATCCTGTAAGGCGTGCCAGTAAACTGGTTGTGGTGGTGGAAAGTGCCATCAAGTCACAGCCAACTTGTGACCCTGTAGGGTTTTCAAGAGAAGAGACATTCAGAGGTGGTTTGCCACTGCCTGCCTCTGCATAGCGACCCTGGTATTCCTTATTGAATCATAGAATCACAGAATTGGAAGGGGCCCTACCGGACATCTAGTCCAACCCCCTGCCCAATGCAGGATCAGCCTGGAGCATCCCTGACAAGTGTTTGTCCAGCTGTTGCTTAAGGACTGCCAGGGAGGGGGAGCTCACCACCTCCCCAGGCAGCTGATTCCACTGTTGCACTGTCCTTGGTGATCTCCCTTACAAGTACTAACCAGGGCCAACTCTGCCTACCCAGGGCCAGTAACTGTTATCCCCATATTGTAGGTGGTGGGACTAAGGCTGAATGGTTTGCCTGAGCACCCTGTGATTTCTTGGGCAGATGGAAAACTTGATCAAGGGACCTCCCTGAGCTGCTATGGTACACTGGCTCCCTTTTATCTAGAGGAACTTTTCCTGCTTGATTTATGAGAAATGCAAATTGATTCCTTTTGATGGCATAATACTGAATTATATGCACATTCATCAAAATGTACAGCCCTGCATATAATCATGTCAGTTGCATGAAATGCTATGAATTGGGTAGCGGCTAGTTTTATTCTTTGCAGTGCAAATTGATAAAGCCCTATGCTGTAGCTGGTGATCCAGTAACGTGACTATTTCTGCTTACTTCTCGTGCTATACTTTAGATCCCTGGGTTTTCCCATGTACTGTACCTTGGAGTAATTATTTCTGTATTCTCCAGTTGTCGCAAGCAATGTCTTTAAGGCAGCTAATTGGTCTTGTAAAGCAAGCTATTGGGTTTCTCTTATCAAGATAACTGCAAAAAATAGTATGGTTTAACTAACTGGGATCTGAGGACGATACAAGAACTTCCTGATCACAGCATATATATTTTTTCCGGGTTGTAAGCTAGACACTTGGCCTGCGAGTCCAGCAAATTGGAACCATCCTCACAATGGTGATTTATAGTTGGTGGATTATGGGAAGGTCCCCTGTTCAATCCCCAACACCTCCAGTTAAGAGAAAGAGGTACCAGGTGATGTGAAAGACCTAACACCCTGGGACAGCTGTTGCCAGACAGAATAGACAGTACTGACCCTGGAGGTGAACTAATGCCTTTGTTTTAAAGCAGTGTTGTTATTAAGTGGCCCCCTGGTTCTAAGAAACCATTCAGGGAAGGTTCGGTAAAGTATTTAAAAAAAATTATTTTGGGTTTTCAGTATGTCACAGATAATTGACATGTCGGCAGGTGGGGCAAGGCTAAAGCTGGTGGGTGGGCTACTAACTGGTGGGCTTATTTGCAAGCCTCCTTTACAAAGTACAGCTCCTTGCACCCCAGACAGTGGCTTCCCAGGGCACTGAGAAGTGGGGCGGGTCTGAGCTGAGTCGTCTGATCCCCGGGCTTGGCTGAATAACGGCTGCTGAGGAAATTGTCCTCTGTACTGTGGATTCTGCCCCTTATTTATTTATTTATTTATTTATGTGTTGCTGTTTTGAACGTTTGGGTTTTTTTATGTTTCCCAAGCTGCTTGTGAAGGGGTTTGTGATCAGCCACCCGTGAGACAGCACTGTGTCCTTCATGGCTCATTGAAGTTGGCAAGGGCTCGTTATTGACTGGGATGCTAATGTGACTTTTTGAAGTTCTTCTCTGAATCCCCTGCAAAGGGATGACAAGATCTCTCTCTTTCTCTTTTTCAGTACCGCATGATATAGGGGCACTGTGTTTCTTTTGGGCTGGTTTTAACTCCTTGAACCTTATTCTGGGGCTGCATACCTTTGTGGACTTCTTCCTCTACCTCTTCCATTTTTTATACCAAACCATTCAGTCATGAAAAATTAAATTTTCTTAAGAGGGGACAGTGATTTCTGCCAGTGCTTTCCCCACTGCTTCAGCCAGTTGAAGCTCCCCACATTTCTTCTTCTTCTTCCTTTTTTGTGGGTGTGTGTCTCCTGGAAGTCACATTGACCTCTGGTGATGAGAGAGGAGGTCCTATGACTGATAGACAACTTAAAAACTGATAAATCACCAGGCCTGGATGGCATGCATCCAAGCAATGCTCCCTTCTAAGCCACCCCCATTTTTAAAAAGGGTTCCAGAGGAGATTTGGGAAATTACAGGCCTGTCATTCTGACGTCAATACTGGGTACATTGGTGGAAACTGTTATTAAGGAGAGAATTAGTAGGCACATTGATGAACAAAAACTATTGAGGCAGACTCAGCATGGGTTGTGCAAGGGAAGATCTTGTCTCACTAACCTGTTAGTGTTCTTTGAGGGGGTGAACAAACATGTGGACAAGGGGGACCCAATAGATGTTGGCTTGGCTTCCAGAAAACTTTTGATAAAGTTCCTCATCAAAGGCTCCTAAGTAAGCGCAATAGTCACGGGATAAAAGGACAAGTCCTCTTGTGGATCAAAAACTGGCTAATTAATAGGAAACAGAGAGTGAATATAAATGGGCAATTTTCACAGTGGAGGGTGATAAGCAGTGGGGTACCGCAGGGCTCAGTACTGGGTCCAATGCTTTTTAACTTGTTCATTGATGATTTGGAGTTGGGAGTAAGCAGTGAATTGGCTAAATTTGCAGATGACACTAAATTGTTTAGGATGGTGAGAACCAGGGAGGATTGTAAGGCACTCCAAAGGGATCTGTCAAGGATGGGTGAGTGGGCGTCAACATGGCAAATTGGGTTCAGTGTGGCCAAGTTCAAAGTGATGCACATTGGGGCCAAAAGTCCTAACTATAAATACACATTGATGGAGTCCGAACTGGCGGAGACTGACCAAGAGAGAGATCTTGGAGTCGTAGTAGATAACTCACTAAAAATGTCGAGACAGTGTGCTACTGCAATAAAAAAGGCCAACACTATGCTGGGGATTATTAGGAAGGGAATTGAAAACAAATCAGCCACTATCATAATGCCTTTGTATAAATTGATGGTGCAACCTCATTTGGAATGCTGTGTACAATTCTGTTCGCCACACCTCAGAAAGGATACTATAGCATTGGAAAAAGTGCAGCAAAAGGCAACTAGAATGATAAAAGGGTTGGAACATATTCCCTATGAAGAAAAGTTAAAGTGCTTTGGGGCTCTTTTGCTTGGAGAACTGACGACTGATAGAGGTTTATAAGATTATGCATGGGATAGAGCAGGTAGAGAAAGAAGTACTTTTCTCCCTTTCTCACAGTACAAGAAATCATTGAAATTGCTGAGCAGTCAGGTTAGAATGGATAAAAGGAAGTACTTCTTCACCCACAGAGAGTGATTAACACATGGAATTCACTGCCAAGGAGGTAGTGGTGGCTACAAGCTTCAAGAGGGAACTGGATAAGCATATGGAGCAGAGGTCCATCAGTGGCTATTAGCCACAAGGCATAGATAGGAACTCTTGGTCTGGGGCAAGTAATGCACTGTATGCTTGGTGCTGGGGGGGGGGGGGTCAACAGTGGGAGGGCTTCTGGTGTCCTCCACGGGTGGACCTCCTGATGGCACCTGGTATTTTTGACCTCTGTGTGACAGAGTGTTGGACTGGGTGGGCCATTGGCCTGATCCAACATTGGCTTCTCTTATGTTCTTTTACAAAAACATGAGCCCTTAAGTCTAAAGCATGTGGTTGGATACAGGCTCAGGGGAGCATGCATGGTTCTCTTGTCCAGCTTCACAATAACCTTGTGAGGTCGGCTAGGCTGAAGAAAGTGATTGGGGCTGAGGTCACCCACTAAGCTTCATGACTGAGTGGGGATTTGAAGCCCGGTCTCCCTGGGTCTAGTCCAGCACACTAATCACTGCACCGCACCGCACTGCTGTGCTGTGCTCTGTTTCTTTCCTCCCCTGTATACTCCTCTAGATTAAGTCATAGAGGCAAGATGTCCTCATTGACCGTACACAGTGGTTTGGCATGTACCTTTTTGGACTGCCACCCATTTGACGAGGAGGGTCAGGAAGCTGCAGTTGGCTGTGCATTGTGTGCTTGTATCCCACGCCTAACTTTTTGTTTTGCTCTTCAACTTCCATCCAAAGGTGGATACGTCGCCAATAGCCTAGCCATCATGACAGATGCACTTCACATGTTAACTGACCTCAGTGGCATTATTTTGACCTTGCTCGCTTTATGGCTGTCTGCAAAGTCGCCCACCAGAAGGTTCACCTTTGGATTCCATCGCTTAGGTAAGTGACCTTAGAGTTTTGCCTTTGTAATGAGCCTGTAAGTGCCAATCACAACAGCTGAGCCTGTATATAAAGTTCATAAATAAAATGCTGGCATTAGTTCTGTAAACTTGTGTGGTGCAGGGACAGGCAGCATGGGAGACCTATTTTAAAAGGTTGGTTTATGGACTTAGAAATTGTGCACCTTGGGGTTGGGAGGGAAAGGCTAATTTGTTTGGTGAGCCAGTTTGGTGTAGTGGTTAAGTGCGTGGACTCTAATCTGGGAAAACCGGGTTTGATTCTCCCTTCCTCCACTTGCAGCTGCTGGATGACCTTGGGCAAGCCATAGTTCTGATAAGAGCTGTCCTTGAAAGGGCAGTTTCTGCCAGAGCTCTTTCAGCCCCACCTACCTCACAGGGTGTCTGTTGTGGGGAAGGGAAGGGAAAGGAGTTTGTAAGCCACTCTGAGACTCCTTTGGGTAGTGAAGGGCGGGGTATAAATCCAATCTCTTCTTCTTGTTCTTCTTCTAATGAATTTGGGCCTGCGTCTTGTACATAAACAATGCCTGAGTTTTGCAAACAAGAACTTTAGCAATGCATGCTCTCACTCTTTCTATTTAGGTATAATGAAAACATCTGTGACACACACCTGTAAGTGTGATGGGTTAATTAAGGCTTGGATTTCCATTGACCGTAGCCTGCTGCACACATATAATTGAGTGTAAATAATTGTTTAATGCAGACTCCTAAATAGCTACAAAACTTCTAACAGAGCCAAATAGTCCTCTTTGTCTCCTATCCACCAGGCTGGTGGGGTGAGGAGGGCAGCTGGAACCCAGTTGTGTTTAGATGTTGTGATAAACTTTGGTTTGTGCAACAAGCTCTGGTTTGTTTATCAACCCCCAGTTTGTCTGCTTCTTGCCTCTCTCACCTTCCAGAAGGGAAAGCATCTTACCTTGTATTCTGCCATCTCTGTAGCTAAGAGGCAACAATGGGCAGCGCAATTCAACAAGCTACATGTTGTGGAACTGAGCATTACAAGAAACCGCAGCTTAGTGCAAGCTGCCATTGACAAACCCAGCCACAAACCCAAGTTAGAAATACAAATTTTCCCGCCTGCATAGCAGCCATCCAGCTGCTTTGGAGCAATGCACGTTGGAGAAGGACTGGAGAAGAGCCGAGGAAATCCCTGGAGGCACACTAATATACCCTGATGCTGTGGGGAAGCAGGGGGGGAAAACACTCCCAAAAGCTTTGAACCCAGCACAGGTAATCTTGTATGGAAATGGCGCTGGTGCAACTTAAGCCTAGCAGTTGGCACCATAGGCATGTGGGTGGTTGGGAATTGTGCCAGATCCAAACTTCCCAGGCCTAAGAAGAGAGCTGTGGCCACCACACAATTAGGCATCCTTCAACTTGGGGGATTTCTGTGGGGCTGGCATGTGCATAACTGCACCTTGCGATGTGGACCAGTATAAATAGTCCTAAAATCCATTGCAGTTTTTCCTTTGACATCAGAACAGTATTCACAACATCAGCTCTTTGGAAAGGAAAGTTCTTAAATAACAAGACAAAATAAAAGCAGTTTTTCTGTTCAAAATGCAGTGGCCTAGCTCTGATCTTTCATACCCTTGTTAGGTTAGTCTCCAATCACATCTGTCCAATTAGTCATTCACCTCTCACTTTGGAAAGCATTATTTTTGTTAAGCTCCTGAAAAATCTAATGTGCCAAACTGTAAAGGGGCCCACGGGAGCTTAAATACAGCAGGATGTATTTGAGTACCTTTGAAAACTGCTTTCGGCCCCCACTGGGTTGTGTTTCAGTTGTCAGGATAATTCATTCCACGAAATTAAAAACTCTTGAAAGAAAAGTTTCGTGGCTGCCAAAACCCTTGACTACTGGAGCCCCAAGACGCTTGGTTACTGTACGGTATAGTACAATATACCTTTAGTAATATCCTGGAGGGGGTAATACTGTATGTCTGATGAGGAGGGCAATCTCTCTACCTAGGGGAAAGAAAATCATAGGCAACATTATGAAATGTAATCCCCTCCCATGTCTGGACAGAGTGAAGAAAGATTTTGGAAATACCTTGGAAATCATATCAGACTTCTAGAATTCCATGGCTGAAGTTTTTTTGAATTCAAGCCCCCACACTGAGGCAAGACCCTTCCTACACAAACATTCCTAACAAATTACTCTGTCCTTGGATAGATTAATACACTAGTGATATTGTAGCCCATTACGGACTGCAGAACCACAGATTGACTTCATAGTAGCTCATGAAGTTAATCTGTGGTTCTGTGGTCCCTAATTTAAAAAGTCTATTGTGATGGTGTATACCTCAGTGGCTTTCAAACTGTGTTTAGGGGTTTCAGGGATTCCTCAAAAGTTTTGTTATGTGTTCTTTGGTGAGAAGATTGGTAAAATGTGGGCAGAGCTGTCCTTCTGGTTGTTTCTCCTGCAATTATTAACCTTCCCGGGCTTTTGCCCGTGACTCCACAGCACATGAAGTTTCTCCTGCAATTATTAACCTTCCCTTGCAAACGTGTGTGTGGTGGGGGGCTTTTGCCCGTGACTCCACAGCACATCTGCCTCAAGGTGACAGTATGGAACCTCCGGGCACTGTGGCAGGGTGCCTCCGGGTGTGATCTGTCCGGGGGGCACAGTCGGCTTCCTCCGGGGTGAACAGTGGGCTTCCCAGAGGCCACTGGTCAGCTGCAGGGAGAAATGGACACGCTGGACTTACCTGATGCCACTGGGATCTTATCTGAAGGGGTTGTGGGGGCACGGGTGAAAGGAAGCTGGTGTATGCCACTATGGAGTACCAGGTAGACAGTGGCCAAGGCCGGCAGTGCCCCCTTCGTCTTCCATTTTCTGCTTTGAGCCCTCTAAGAGAAATAAAAATCCAGTGGCACCTTAAAGACTAAACTTTAATTTCTATATGTGCTTTCCTGAGTCAAACTCACAAAAATTCATACTGGAATAAATGTTGTTAAGGTTTTGTTTTGCTACAAAAGACTAATGTGGCTAACTCTTTGCCACGCTCCAAGAGAGAGAGCGCACTGGTAAGAAATTTAAGTTACTCTCCTGTCTGTGGCAGACCTACAAATGCAGAAAGGGTCAAAATTGTGAAAAGCACTGGCACCTATCATAGGGTACCGCAAGTGAAAAAAGCAAAGGGAACTAAATATTCGATAGTGAAAAAAGCAAAGGGAACTAAATATTAACCATGGCTTCAGTATTCACAGGACTTGTCTTGTATTGCATGCTACAGAGTTTTGTGAACACTGGAATTTAGGTTTTAAAGAAAAATCCCTCAACTGACGATTAGGGATATGTGTACACTAAAGAACAAATGTACACATTCTATGCCAAAGTAGTTCTAATTCTGCACCAAAGAGAAGCTGCGTTACGTGCCCTGTATGCATTAAGCAGCCTTTTCATAGCCAGCTGTCTGGGCAACTGTGGAGGTGAGAAAAGCTGATGTCCCTCCATAAGTATCAGTATTTACTGTATGCCACAATCGTGTGGGATTTCACAGTGTCAGAATTTGCTCAGAAAGGAAACCAGTGAGTGTGGAAGACAAGGATTCCAGGATACAAAGGTTTCTGTGTGATTGGTCTCTTGCACCACAGAGTTGTGTTTTCTTCTCTTAAGGGGTGCGTGTGCCTTCTCCTGTGCAAGAAACAGAACGTGCAAGTTTGTTGAATGCACTGTTTGCATGCTTTCTCTCAAGGTTGCATTTCTGTGGCACACAGAATGCATTTTCCCAGCATGCACTGTGAATACATGTTAGAAGGAAGTGATACTTCTCCTTTCCTTTGATAACCCTGGCCAGTGTGATTTATTTGACAGCTTCAGTGTCAGGGGCACCTGTTGAATGTTGCTAGCAGTGACATTTCTGATAAGCGACATACCTACTTCCCTTGTTTCTGTGTTCTCCCACTGAGCAGCTCTGTTACTGTGTCCTCGTGTGAAACTTCCTTTTTGAGTTTTGAGGTTGGGTGCTCTCCGTTCTGGAGTACTCACCTCAATTTCTCACGCACGCATACTTACACAGCTTATACATATGGGTCACCAATCATGCTTTTGCTATTGAAAAAAGGGGCCCATGGGAGCTCTGTGCAAAGTGGGTGTGTAGAATTGATAAGCAATTGGTATAACTAAAAGTGCCATAGAAACGCAAAATAATACTGTATATAATGTAAGACTGCCTAGACCTCCTGTAACAGTGCTTCTCTTTTCTCTATCCCTCTGACAGAGGTTTTGTCTGCCATGTTCAGTGTCCTGCTGATTTATATCCTTATGGTTTTCCTCTTGTACGAAGCTGTTCAAAGGACCATCCATATGGACTATGATATCAATGGGGACATCATGCTGATTACTGCGGCTGTCGGTGTGGCGGTGAATGTCATGTAAGCGTTCTGTTTCTCTGCGTTAACCGTGTGGGAGTTTTCTGCAATTGGTTGGTTGGTTTTTCATTGTGGCTACTGTATTGGGCTAGATGAATTGTTTTTAAAATAAATGCAGCATCCCCTTGTCTTGTCTTGACTTGTCTTGTGGACTGGGTGGAAGGTGGCTTACGAATGCCATAACCAGGGGTCGTTTAGTAGAAAAAGAGCTAGGGAAACTCATTAGCATAACTCATTAGCATATGCCACACCCCCTGACATCACTGGAAGTGTGTCATAAGGCCACACCCCCCGCCCCCAACGGTCCCGGCCGCTAAGGCCGGCGGGAGTGCAAGGAAGCCCCGCGAAGGCCCTCCCTGGCCCCAGGCAGGCAGGGGTGGGGAGAGGCAGGGAGGAAGCAACTTACCCTCCCTCTTCTCCTGCCTCCTCCTGGCTGAATGAGGGCCGGAAGCGGGGTTGCCGGAAGCAGGGGGCAGGGCTTTGTCATGTGCCCCGCCCCCCATACCTCACTCGGGGGAACTGTGATCCCCTGCGATTCCCCCCGAAATTACCTCTGGCCATAACAAATATCCAGATTACATTTGGAATCCTAAGGATGGCCGTTCTCTCTGTTGCATGTTGCTGGTGCTGAACTGTGTCACCATAAAACACTTCCCATAAGTGTTCTAGTTTGAGGACATCTCTGCCTGTGTGGTTGGGCCATAAGCGTGTAGCTGTACCCACCAGCCTCCTTCAGAGCCATCCAACCTCATGCCCTTCCACTCGCATGCCCCGTCTCCTTTCCTTCCATCCCAAGGGAGACTGGCTCCACATTGCACAGGAGAACTCTTCTTTGGCTGGCCATGTGGGGGTGCAAAGGGGAGAGGAGGGTTTCCTCCGAGGTATCCAGCTGCAGTGCAGTTCTCTGTTTGCCCACTGAAGGTGGCTGGGAGCGGACCCACAAGATTGTTTTATTTATATTTATCATATGGCAGAGTTACACACAGGAAGTATATAATAATATAAAATATGTAACCAAGTTGATACAATGGATATGCAGACCGATTGGGCAATCCCCCTAAATACTAATATCTAGATTTGCAATCCACTCAGTCACAGCTGGGCAGAGTTCAAAGAGCTCCATCACATCTCCCTGGAAAGCACGACACTCACATTCCTATGACAGATGGAAAATAGTTTGGTGGGCTGCACCACAATCGCATTCAGATCCTGGTATTCTAGCTTGCCTCCTCATGGGTCACCCTGGGTAATGCTAAAGAGCTAGAACTTCTTGCAGCCAGGCAGTCGTAGGATTTCCTGGCTACACTGCACACATGGACCCACAAGAAGTAGTAGTATAGGGGTTAGAGGGGGCAGAGAGAAGTGGGGATGGTGGGAGCAGTACTTGGATTTGCTAGCGGGGCATTTTGGTACTATGTGTGTGGCTCTCCACTCCCCCCATTCTAGGAATACTAGTGGCTTGTTCTCCAATCTTCTCATGCTTACAAAAGATTGCAGTCATGGTAAAACCCCAACCCACTCCCTTTTGGGGTCAAAGTATGCTAATGGTTTTTTTCTTTCTCCTGCTTTCTGCTGCAGAATGGGCTTTTTGCTGAATCAGTCGGGCCACCTCCACTCCCACGCACACAGCCCTTCAGCCGTTCCTCTGTCCAACTCTTCTAGCACGGCTTCGGGGCACAGCCACGGTCACGGCAGCCTGGCAGTGAGAGCCGCGTTCGTACACGCTCTGGGAGACTTGGTGCAAAGCATCGGCGTACTTGTAGCGGCGTACATCATTCGTTTCAAGGTAGGGCTTGACTCGGATCATGAACTAAAGATATTTCTGATACAGTCCGCTGTGCTGGCTTGCTCAGCACTTGAAGGCTGTAAGGGACTCTTGGTAGATTGCTCATGCAGTGAATTTGACACAGAACACCACAGTCACTCAAAGTGGGCTCTTGTCTTCTGGAATGGAGGGGCAGCTCCCAGCTTACGAAAATGGGATGCGTGTGCAGAGCTACTGTGAGTGTAGAAACCCTTGTATGTACATAGGAGCATTGTGTATGTGCTGGATATTCTGCCTGCTCAAGGAGTCACTGGATTGGATTCAAGCAGTTGGGGACAACATATGATGTATTACCAGTGTAATTCCTTTTGCAAACTTTGATCTGTGGCATGTGGTAGATTATAGATTTAAATGAATAACAGTGCAATGCCATATGGAGTTACTCCAGTCTAAACTCTGCATAGGATTGCACTGTAATCCAGGAGTAATTCTGCAGGGGGTTGCACTGTAGAGAAGTCTCCTGGCTATCCATAACCAAATATTGTGATAAGAACTCCACATATATACTGGGATTGGAGTTTTGTATTCTGAGTTTAATACTCTGTGATGGAAATTGCCTATCTTAAGGAAGGCCCCTCTCAATATGAGCCCCAGCTCTGCTTAGGATGTTCCACCCCCCCCCCATGTTCACTGTGAAAAATCGATTCAAGTCCAATTACAGTCCACAAATTTGCTGCTGCTTCTTTTTGTTTCTTTATTATACGTCATGCAGTGCTGCTGCTGCTTCCAACAATTGCCATGTGATTACAGATTTCCCAGGTAAACAATCTGTTTCCTTCAATGCTTCATCAGGTCGCTTTATACTTGGAGCCCGTGCTCTACGTCTCCTACTCAGAATGAATCTTGTATTCTCTCCGCATCTGTTGGCCAACAGATGAGAGCCAACAAATGCCAAGAGAATACAAGATTCATTCTGTGGACTGTAATTGGACTTGAATCAATTTTTTCACAGCAAACATTGGTGGGGTGTGCAACCTTGGTTGAGTCACTGTGGTCCATTTGTGGCTGCTGCTTATGATGTTTGGCAGGCCCACCTTAGTGTTCCTGGCACTACCAAAGGCAACTACAGGGATGAAAAGGAGGGCATTTTCTGTTATGGCCCAATTAAATAGCACCTTCTTCTAAAGACAACCCTATGAGTGCCCAAAACGATGGATAATTAGAAAACAGACTCTTTCTTTCCAAGAAAGAGCTTCAGCTAGGCACTGTAACAATGATATGTGTATGTTAAGTTTTGGGAGGGAAGGTGGCATAGTATAGCCCGATCTCATCAGATCCTGGAAGCTAAGCAGGATCGGTACTTGAATGGGAGACCTCGAAGGAAGACTGCAGAGGAAGGCAATGGCAAACCATCTCTGCTTCTCACTGGCCTTGAAAGCCCTGTTGCAACTTGATGGTTGTTTTAGGAGTACGGCCTTTGAATTTGATTTTTTGTTGTTGATGTGTTTTATTCATTTTATTTTGCTTCATTTATAATTCTCCTTGCTTGCTGAGACTCAGACAGATTACAAAATGAAGCACAATAAAAGCAGTATGATACATACAATAAACAATGTAAAGAAAAACATTGTAAAAAGCAACATATAGGGTACAAGGGGCGGGACCCGCGATACTCGTGGGGGGGGAGGGACCTCCACATATGAGGCAGAGGAGGAAGCAGCAGGAGGAGGTAAGTCCCCCCCCAGCTCTTCCCCACCACCCGGCTCGCCGCTCGCCTCGCTGCTCTCTTCCCCCCGAAGCGGTGGCGGCGAGGGAGGTCGCAGAGCGTTCCCTGCGCATGCGCAGGGGACGCTCTGTCAGTTTCGGGGGGATTTAAACATCCCCCCCGATATTTTTTACAGGGTTTCTGATTTTTGTGCACACCTGGGGACCACCCCACGTGTGCACAAAACTCTCCCTCCCCCCCAGGTGCCCCCGGTGCGCGGAATTAGGTATCCGCACACCAGGAGGCGACTTCAGAATTAGATATATAGATGCTACAAAAACACACAATTTGTGGAGAGGCATGCCGAAGGCCTGAGGTTCAATCTCTGGCTTCTTCAGTTAAAAAATGAACCAGGTAGTAGGTGATGTGAAGGACCTCAACCAGAGACCCTGGAGAGCCGGCTGCCAGTCTGAGTAGGCAATACTGACCTTGATGGGCCAAGGGTCTGATTCAGTATAAGGCACCGTCATGCGTTCATCTGTTCAAGTCTGAAAAACCACACGGTGGAGAGACAGCTTGTGTATTTCACACACCAGCTTCTACAGGAACTCTCTTGGCCAAGAGACGAAACAGTTGTGTGAATTCAACACTTGCTGAATCTGAAAAAAGACTCTCTTCCCGGACAAAGTCTTATCAGGCCTTAATCTCTTTGCTTCAGCCAGAATACAAGATCGCTGATCCTATATGCACATACGTGTTCTCAGTACTCGTGGCTTTCACAACACTGCGGATCATACGGGACACGGGAATAATTATACTTGAAGGTAATGATTGTTCTTATGTTCAATGTATTCCTTGGAAAACATGTAAGAGAGTTCAGAGTTGGTAGTGGTAGTTCAGAGTTGGTCCATAGCAAACTCTAAAAAGAAAACCCATGAAAGTACATTTCCTTTAAGACCAACCAAAATAACATACTGCAATGTCATTCTGTGGGTGTAATTTTTAGAAGCAGCAGTGGCGGTTATTGTATCACTTCCCTTCATCTAAAAAAAGAGCTTTAAAATTGTCATTGATGATTATGAAAGGTTGCCCTGTTTTTGGACCCCTCATAATCGACATCCTCAGTACATTTACTTTTGGATTTTAACATTTAACCTGACAATATCATTTTACTGTAGGAGTTCCAAGGCATTTGAATGTGGATCACATTAAAGAAGAGTTAATGAAAATCGAAGATGTGCATTCAGTGGAATATCTGAATGTTTGGTCTCTGACAGCAGGAAAAACAGTTGCCATCGTCCATTTACAACTAGGTAGAGTATGCTATGGGGCTTATATAGAAAAATGGCTATGTCTGCAATAAAAGTTCTTTGAAGTTGCTTTTGTAACAGTGATGGTTAGATTGTCTGACTGAGGCATCCTGGGAAATCTGGGATTCATAATGTCATTCGGCATCTGAAATCACTCCACTTTCCAATAAACAGGACAGATGGACTCCCATTCTTGCTGTATCTGAAGAAGTGAGACTCACAAAAGTTCCTACCCTGCCAACATATTTTGTTAGTCTTTAAGGTGCTACTGGGAGCTGTGGTGGCTCAAGTGGTTAAGACGCTGAACTGCAGGCTGTGGAAGGTCAGTAGTTCAGCAGTTCGAGACCGGGGTGCCGCATGATGGAGTGAGCTCCCATCTCTAGCTCCAGCTCCTGCCAACCTAGCAGTTCGAAAGCAAGAAATTGCAAGTAGATAAATAGGTACCACTTCAGTGGGAAGGTAACAGCGTTCCGTGCACCTTGGTGTTTAGTCATGCTGGCCACATGACCACGGAAACGTCTTCGGACAGCGCTGGCTCTTAGGCTTTGAAACGGAGATGAGCATCGCAACCCTAGAGTCAGATTCGACTGGCTTTCGAGCAAGGGAAGCTTTTTAAGGTGCTACTGGACTCTTGCTCTTTTCAACTACATTAAATGATGGAAAGATTACATAGTAGGAGCCTGCTTAACAGCAAGCTGTATCCAGCAGTAGAGACCGCAGTCCCTAATCGTCCCATCCAAGTAATTTTGTGAACCATTTTGTACAGTGCAACCCTGTTACTTGTGTAGAAAAGTTCTCTTGAATAATTCAGTTTTCCATAGTTTGTGGAAAGCCAGAGGATGCTATTCCAGGCAGGCCATTCCACAAGGCGAGGGCCGTAGCGGCGAAAGCACATGTGTACAGGTGGTTGTTGACTTTGCCCATCTGCAGGTTGGCACCTGTAGAAGCCCCTGCTGACATGAGTGGAGTTCTCATGGTGGAGCAGTGAGAGAGAGGTGGTCCCACAAATTAGAGGGGCCAAGGCCATGAAGGGCTTTGCATGTGATATGGCCAGGGTCCAACATACCTGAGGGACTGCCTTTCCCCATATATACCCCAGAGAGCACTTCGGTCAGGGACACAAAACTGACTGGCCCTTCCAGGCCCCATGGACACCAGGCTAGCTGCAACCAAGGCCATACTGGTGGAATGAGCTCCCGGAAGAGATCAGGGCCCTGCGGGACCTTTTAAAGTTCCGCAGGGCCTACAAGACAGAGCTCTTCCACCAGGCTTTCAACTGGGAGCCGCCACCACCACAGGCATTACTACCTACGATTATTAATACCCCAGCTGGGGTTTCTGAGTTCATTTTGAGGGGAGATCAATGTACAGGGCATTACACAGCTTTTCCAGCTTTGGCATGTACAATTGCATACCTTTAAATATCTGGGTTTCTGATGGTGTGTAGCAAAGCTGGAAGGGTCACGTGTTGCCCCATTGACACAAAATGGTGACTGCATAGAGATCATGCGTAGCATGTTGCCAAAACCATAACAGCTGAAAATGGCTGCAGCAGCTTTTTGTGCAGGCAGTGGTTGGGCCTGAGTTGACATTTTCCTGGAGATTAGAGCCAGATTGTCATTCCCGCTCACCTTTAAATAATTAGCGTTCATTAATTTTTTTTTATAATTTGAATACTTAGCAGTGGTTCTCCAGGCTCTTGGGGAGAGAAAGGTACTTTTCAGCAGCTGTTACTTGGGATTCTTTCACTCTCAGTGTTATCCATTTATCTAGAGACATCTTTTCTGATCAATGGAGGGGGATGTAGGGGCTGGAGGAATTTGGGTGTTATGCCTTGTGAAATATAGAGTTGGAATGGAGAAATGTTCCCCCCACCATGGAAGCTTTAAAGCCTTTCTACTCTGTGTCATTTTCTTGCTTTTCAGTTCCCAGCGGTTCATCAAAGTGGGAGGACATCCAGTCCAAGGCTAGACGATTGCTACTGAACACTTTTGGAGTGTATCAATGTTCTGTCCAGCTTCAAACTTACAGGCGTGAGGAGAACAAACACTGCGTTAATTGTCAGAATTCCAGTGCCTAACTTTCCACACGTTTTTGGGGTGTGTGCTGCCTTATTCTTTTTATCTTGCAGTCGAAGATGACCACAGAGCAATAACACAAGATTTACAAGTGGAATGGGACTTCTTAGATCTGGCTAATGAGAACATTCAGAACTGGAGAAGGAGCTGGAATTACCCCTTTTGATGAAGATGAGCACGCTCTCCCCCCGCCCCGGGTCACTGTTTGTTTTGCTAGGGTTTCCATGCCAAGATATTTCCAAAAAATGTTTACAGATCACACGATGGCTAGCCAGATACCTCAGTGTACACTTCCATGTTGCCAATTGTTAACTGTGTACTGGTATTCCTGCATTCCAAAAAAGGGCATCAGGCATTAGCTACTTGAATTTAAAAAGAGTTGACAAGGTTGATCATGTTGGTGATCTATAAAGTTAAAGATCCCCGAACTGGTTGCACAGCATTTTTCTTTTTCTTATTATAAAACCCAAGTTTTTTAATACCTTGTTTAATAAAATAAAAATTCAATTTGCTGTAGGGCTTTTGGAGCCCTTTTTTCCTGTGTTCTGTATTCACACAAACTTGAATGTGTATTGGGAAACAGCTTTTACCGTAACCAGTCTTGGAAGTTTTAGCTTTAACCTATCGAAATCATAAAATATAAGTTTACCAGTTATTTAATTGAAGGCTTAGGGGCTGGACCCACACCATTTGAAAGGCTTGGCTGTCTGTCGTATCTCTAGGCGTAGGATTTATACCATAGGAATATATATATATTTAATTTCTTTGGGTATTATATTGACTTTGAGATGACCCTTACTGCTAATCTCAAGTCTCTAAACTAGTGTTTAACCCGCTGCAGAGACCGTTCGGTTAGCATGAATCTTAATAGGAAGCAAGTACTCTGTAGGAGCCCTCTTCCCACTGATTTCCTTCCCTGAAGGTGAAGGGGCCTTAGAGAAACTGTATTAAGCGCAAGAATCGAATCAGTAGATGTAACGTAGATATTCAGGAGATGCGAGACTTCAGATACGTTGCAGTTCTTGGAAAGTAGAATTGTGAGAATCGGGTTTCCTTTTCATCTGTCATTAATTTCCAGTTTTTAAATATGGCGTTTGCATGGTGATGTCTGAAGTGTGCCGGTGAAATGTTAGTGATTTGGTGAGCAGTGCTGCTTCACGTTCAAACAGGGAAGCATACCCGCCATCATTGTTTGTTCTTCTGGTAACCATTTTAGTTTTTAAAAAAGATAAAATAACCTTCCTTTCTGACCTGTGTTGAATGCAGGCCTTAATAACTGCTTTGCAGGCACCAAATTTACATTGGTTTCTCTTTAGAATTGGGCCCAGAGAATAGGGGAGCCAGAGAAAGAAGGGAGACAGAGATGTTGCACTCATAAGTAAGCGAAGGCCAACTTGAATCATAGCTTTAATGCTGAAAAACACAAACAAAATACCAGCATTTGGTCTGCAATGATACTGCTGCATCTGTGTCATGTTGATCCTTCTGAAGAGAACTTTATCAATATGCATTTGGTATAAGAAATAATATATAATTTTTGGCTATTATGGGTGTTTCGGTCTTCACTATGACAACTGAGGCAATTGTTCTTTTAACCACAGCAATATTTTCCTATGAATGTTTTACTAGTTGCTGTTAGGACGGAACAAACCAAAAGAGGTAGTTTCCCTTGCTCACAGTCGATGACAGTAATTGAAGAACTGAGTACTGAAGTACCAGCATTTTATCAAAGTACCAATATTTTGATTAATTGCACAATTTAGATTATAAAATAAGTAACTATCCAGTTCTTCTGTGTAATGATTATTGTAATGTTAAAGACCAATATTTATCCCCTGATAAAGACCTGTATTTTATAAATAATTTTTACAGTAGCCATTGCATTAAATCTATATGGATATTTTATTTAGAGCATTATAATTTAAGCAACTATCAAGTTACCTTATGGAAAAAATTATTCCCTTTTATCATTTCTGCAAGTGATCCTGATTGGAAAATTACTCAGAAAATGGTGAGAAGTGGTACTCAGTTAAACTTCTAAAATGTTCCTTTGCTGGATTTCTGATGTAGCTTGTAATTGGAGTTAGCCAATACTTCTCTTTCGCCCATCCCGAGATGAAATTTCAGTGTTAATTTGAGTAAAGTGCACTATGTTGTATTTTCTTCCAAAACCGGAATGCTTGCATTTCCAGTTCAGAGATGAAGAGCTGGTATCTTTCTGGAAATCTGTTGGTTTATTTTCCTACACAACAATTTAACACAAAGCCATATCACAGTTTGTGAGAAAATAAATTTGTGTATCCCTTCTATACAACTTTTATGGAAGTCAGGTATTTTTGCACACAATGGATATTCATAATGGATATTTCATTATGTTGGGGTTTACAGTATATGAGTTAGAAATTGGGGTATATCTGTACTGTCCTTGGAGGTTTTTTAATTGTAATTATTTACTATATATTGTTTAATTAAACAGATGTGTTGCTTACTGTGGATTTATTAAATCACTTATTAATATGCTCTTGTGTATTATTCTTAGTTTGTGCCCTTTGAAAAGCACCATTTCTTTATTTGGTATTTAGGTAGCACTGTCAGTGTTCAAAGTACTTCATACTCTGTTGTGCTCCTTACAACATTCCTGGAAGGTAGGCCAAGATTATCAGGTTAAGGCTGTGTGTGTGTAAAGTGCTGTCAAATTGCAGCTGGCTTACGGCGACTCCAGCAAGGGGTTTCTAAGGCAAGTGAGAAGCAGAGGTGATTGCCATTGCCGTCCTCTGCGGAGTCTTCCTTGGTGGTCTCCCACCCAAGTACCAGCCATGCTTTGTTTCTGAGATCTGATGGGATGGGTTGTACCATTGCTGCCTTCCCTCCCTATTGGGTTAATTATGTGTTGCTATTTTTTCACTTGCCTATCAAAGCCTCTAGTCAGCACAAAACACAGTAGAGAGATATAAGCAAGAGGATGTGGGATGTGGTAGGAAGTAACAGTTCCTAGGCTGATTTTTTCCTCTGAAAGGACCTCATAAACTGGATGTGGGCAAACCAGATTCCTTTGGCCTCTCACCTTACTCCCAATTTACAACACAAGAACAATAATATCAGCCTACCTTTCAGTCAGGACCACAACACAGTCGTTATCTGTGATGTGCTTTGAACAAGTACTGTATAAATGTTAAGAATTTTTTCAGGCTGTTGATGAATGTCATAAATAGCATAATAATAATAAATGACTCAGTGGTACCAAGTGAGCAACTGGACTAGTAAAACTTAGGTGGACTAGCAGTTCCCCCCCCCTTGTATATACAAGTAGACCTGTGTACTATATAACAGTCACTTGTCATACAGAACCAAGGATTGGACCAAATATGTTGTCGCTTCTGAGAAGTAGTCCTGTGTGATGTGAAATATGATATCTGGGTGTGCTGAAGGCCTCCCCAAATAGTGCTTTCTTATCCTGTCATCCCTACCACTTACCAGTATGTTTTACATTGGTTTCAGTTATGAATACCCCCTACCCAAAGCTGCATTTATTTCCATGAGAAGAGTTAAATACAAGTGCTGGTGTCTTGTCTTTTTCTTCTGCCCTATTGGCCACTTGTAGAGAGCCAGTGTGGTACAGTGGTTAGGGTATTGCCTTAATATCCAGTTTCGAATTCCCACTGCCATGAAGTTCACTGGGCGACTTTGGGCGAGTCTCTCAGCCTAACCTACTTCTCAGCGTTGCTGAGAAGGTAAAATGGAGGAGAGAAGAATGTTGTGGTAACAGTGTACTAACTTGTGGAAATGTCACAGGATGAATGTGTTAAATATTTCCTGCCTCAGTGACCTTTCACTAGTTTTCAAGGCAATTGTGTGGGGCTGTTTAAAATAGAAAACCTGCAAGAGATTCATGGTCCTATTAAGTCTGACCCTCTTTTAAAGCTGCTTGATCATGACATAGCATACCACATCCATCCCAGATGTGGTATAGTGGTTAGAGTGTTGGACTAGAATCTTGGAGATCTATGTGTGAATCTTCACTCTGTCTATGGAAACTCACTGGATAACCTTCGGCTATTTACTTTATCTGCCTAGCCTACCTAGTAATGCCAGCCTCCAGGTGGAATGTGGGGATCTCTCAGAATTACAGCTCATCCCCAGACTGTAGAGATCATATTCCCCTGGAGAAGATGGATGCTTTGGAAGAGTGGACTCCATGGCACTGAAATCCCTGTCCTCCCCAGGCTCCACCCCCAAACCTCCAGGAGTTCCCCAACCTGGTCCGGCAACCCCAGCCCCCCAGCCCAGGGAGCCTGGCAGCCCTTATCCTACCTCACAGGATAGTTGCTGTGAGGATAAAATGGAAGAGGGGAGAAGGCTGTTTGAAGCTGTCATGACCCCAGGGGGTCTCCACCTTCTGCCACTGCCACCCTGGACTTCAGTCTCTTTGAGAAGGCCCAGGGTACCCTCCCAAGCACATACTACAAAATGCCCCTTTCCCAGCCGAGAACACACAGGCGTGATTGACCCAGGCAGAGAGAATTAATTAGACAGAAAGAGTTTATAAAAAACAACACTTGGGCAGGGAAAACAAGACAAGGCAAGGTGCTTTAAAAGGGTATAACAGTGTGAAAGGAAAAATAAAAATAATCTAACGCAGTTTAGGGCTGCCAAGTCCCCCCGGGGGGGCGGATAATCCCCCGCTTTGGAGGCCCGATTTCCGCCGCCGCAGAATCAGGCCCCGGGGGGAACCCCACCCCGGCGTGCATGTCAGCCGGATGTGACGTGATGACGCCGGGCACGCTGGGGGCGGGGCCACAGCCATCTGAGGGGAAAACTCTATGTCCGGGAGCCCCCCCGTCCGGGAGCCCCCCGCTGCGAAGAGAAACGGACTTGGCAACCCTAACGCAGCTATCTGTTTCTACTTCCAGGCCCCCAGCCTGCCTGGCACTCAAGCCGAGCCCAGTGGAGATCTTCCTCTCTCCCAGAACAGCCTGTCCCCACCGAGAGACCAGGCCGCAGAGAGAGACGGAAAAACCCTCCGTTTTACACACTTAAGGGCGAAGAACAACCTCCTCACACAGTTCAACAGTCTCCTTGCCGAATCTTCCTCTCTGATTGCCTATAGCCCGTTGCTAAGCCTTATGGGGACTGTAGGCTGCCTGCTTTCATTGCCATGCAGGTCTCTCCTGTGACCAGGCCCTGCTCCCAGTCCTGCACAGATCATGACAGAAGCCACATTGGGGAGAAAAGCAGAGTATAAACATCTAAATGAACAATACAAATAATCAAAGCAGTGTGTGGTCTGAGAGCTGTGCCATGAGACCCATTCAACTTTTGAGCTGCTACAGCATTTTCTCATTCTGCTGTTGTTGGTAATGTAGAAAGGCCTAGTATGAGGAAACCTGCCTATTATAGCTAACCAGTGGAACTGCTGATCACAGCAGAAACAGGGATAAAACTTATTTCCCTGTGAGTTTTTTCAAACTACATTCCTGGAAGTTCTCTACACTGGGAGATTTATGGCCTGACAGTTTTAAATCAGTGTTTAGTTCAACAGCAGCCTGGCTGCAGTCTGTTGCATTTAACTTCCTGCTTGACCAGGTTTGAAACACCTGAGGTACTTGAGCATTGGGGGTTCCTGTACCCGAAAGATCAGTGTTGAATAAATTATAGGGATCATGTGAAGGAGGGGGGAAACTAGCCAGCTCCACCAGTAAACACATTGCAACCACTGGTAGCTAATGCAGCTTTTCACTGGTATTCATAGCTCTGTCGCATGGAGAAGGGTAAACTGTTGGACCACTCCCACTCTCTCAAAATGGCGGAATATGCTTATTGTGATGGAAATGGGACAAGGTGGTAGTTATTAATCCAACTTTAAGAGCAAGGATTTTCAAAACTTCTACTTGCAGGGAACCCTCTTTGCTGGCATGTCTCCCACACAAATACTGTGTGCTGCAGAAGACTTGTTGTTGTTGTGTTTATGAAGTTCTGTTTTTGTGTTCTGAAGTACACAAGCTTCTTTAGCTGGAGTGTTTGCCTAGGCCTCACTGTGACGCATCATTACTTGAGGGAACTCTTGGCTAATGGGCGGGAAGCCTGGGTGTATCTGAACAAGTTGGTGATGCCGGGGGGGGTGGGGGGTTATCAGGAAAACCAGGGCTTTTTTTGGGCAGGAACGCTCAGGAACGGAGTTCTGGCTGGCTTCAGAGTTGGCCACGCCCACTACAGCCAAAACCGCTGCATGCGTGGCTACAGAGGGAAGGCCTCGAGAGTGACCCCAGCTACTCCAAGTCGGGTGGGCCAGGAAGGATTGGGGAACAAGCATTTAAATGCCTCCCCGTGCCTTCCCCGGCCTGTCCAAGGACCAGCTTGCCCAGGCTCCCTGCAGCTGCGGGGCGCCCAGACAAGCAAAGGGAAGGCATGGGGGTGTGACCTAATATGCTAATGAGTTCCTACTGTTGGGTGTGGCCTATTATGCTAATGAGTTCCTGCTGGGCTTTTTCTACAAAAAAAGCCCTGAGGAAAACTGCCTCGCAGGGATTAGAACCTCTTCCATGAGGTAAATGGCCTCTCTTGAAAATTCATCAGTAAGGTCGAGGCAACACATGCTTCCCTTATAACACTGAAGGCCACAGCAAGATGAGGGGAGAGAGATATATTTATTTGCATAAAGCATTTATGAGGTTTACCAACCTCCAGGAGATCCCTGCTATTACAATTGACCTCCAGATGACAGAGATCAGTTCCTCTGGAGAAAATGGCAGCTTTTATGCCACTGTACCCTGCTGGGGTCCCTCCGCTCCCCAAACCCCACCCTCCCCAGACTCCCTCCCAGCAATGCTCCCTC